CTCATTATGAAGACTCCCCACTGTAGGTTTATAGCCTATGAATAGGCTCTAATAGCTCAGGCTTAGAAGTTAGACAACCTTGAGTTTGAGTCCAGTCCTGTTGCTTACCAAAAGTACAGCCTTGGTCAAGCTGTTCAACTTTACTAACCCATCAGATTTTCTTATCTTCACGTACGGCACTTTGCACATAGTAGGTGTTCAATGGCCGTTACTGTTATTATTATGGTCTATCACGTGGTGCCTGGCCAAATGCTGACCTGCTAGGAAATAGGAGTTATTTCACAGATTTCTAAAGATACACTCAAAGAGCACGAATACAAGGGAGTAAACCTAGTTGGGGTGGTGGTCTTGTGCTGTGTTTCATGAACGGGGATTACTTCCAGAACTTAAAACCAGTAACAGATTATATAACCTAACATGCAGTAAGAACAAGGTATAACAAAGGACCATCCCACTAAACATGTTCCTCTGCAAAAACCCACAGAGACAATTCAAAGACTCAGAGCTCAATCCTAAAAGTAGAAAGCAAAACGTACTCTTACAGGGTCCAGGATATTTACATACTCTATTCAAATACAGACGCTGTATTTCTAGAACTGTCCTAACATTAGGTCTCTATCAATCAGGTTCTTCTAGCACATAAATGAAGACCTCACTGTTATCAGTGAGCCCATATATAGTCACTTCGTCTTTCTGAACCTCAATTTCCTATTCCAAAAGAAAAAAAGAATATTTCCATCTCCCTCATAAGTTTTAATATAAGAGGATTATAAGTGATGACATGTGAAAGAGCTTAGGGTAATACACAGTACATAGCAGGCACTCAGTAAGTGTCAACAAGGTGAACTGAGAGAAGTGAAAAACGACCACTCCTTTTTTTTTTTTTTTTTTTTAATACTTTCCTATGCTGAGTCAACTTGTGTTATGCCCTTGACAAACAGACAAGTTTCGTTCTTTCTGGGATAGACAGACCCTCCCTCTCCTAAGATAGAGAGTATCGGTGAATGAAGCAAGAAGGCTTGGAAATGAGAGTGTCTATAACACAGAGATGTTACCTGTTACATGTCAGATACTGTTTCCCAGAGACAGAGAGGTAACTTGCTCTGAACATGGTACAAGCAAGGTATTTTGCTACCCATTAGAAAGTGAAATATTTGGGAGCATATTCCCAAATATTCATATCATGCTATGTCAAATCAGTGCCTCATGTTTAACTCCTGCCTTTTTTTGTTCAAAGCTAACAGTTATGGGGTGCTTCCTCAGTGGCAGGCACTAAGTGCTTTACACATATAACTCGCTTAATCCTGACAATGACCCTACTGCATAGGTACTATGATAATCTCTGTGTAGCAGATGAGGAAACTAAGGCACAGCAAATTTAAGTAACTTGTCCTAGGCCACACAGATGATAAATTGAGGATCAGAGTCCAGGCCATCTGGCTCCAGAGCCTATGGTCTGGCCATACAACCTCTTCAGTACCTTGATCATAATGTGACTTACTGAGTGACGGCCTCCTAGGTGCATTATGTGCAGTGTTTGGCATTATACTTCATTTAATTTAATCCACACAATAATTTAAGAGAATGGTAATATTCCTATTTTACAGATAAGGCAACTGAGACTCAGAGGCTTAAAATAACTTATCCTTAGTTATGAAGCTAATAAATGGCAGAGGTGGGAATTGAGCCAAGGTTTATCTGATGCCAAATCCCACCTTCTTCCCACTATACTTGACTGCCTTCTTTCAAGGACTGGCTTTATTAGAGAAATAAGGTAGCATAAAGAACCTCCCCACTCTTCTCCCAAACAATGAACCAATCACTCTCTCTCTACATCACTTATTTTTCTCTTGGTTGGACTCCTCAATGCCCCATAATCACTGTTTATTCCAACTTTTCTGAAATCCACTTTTCCAGAGAAGAAAAGTGAAGCACATGGTATCTAGCTACTTTTTCAGGGTTTCAAGACTCCATATACCATAGAGCTGGGCAATTTAATTCCACCTTCCCATTCTTATTTTCTGACCACTGCGATCATACTTCCCCTCCTATTCATCTGCCCCCAAAGCCTCTCCTCTTGAGGGGCAAAGCTTCACTGCAACACGAAGCTCAGCTATTTTCTTCGTACTATTATCAGCCCTACTATACTGTCCCTACTACTATAATCAACATTAAACATGAGAGCTTTCTTCTCAAGGAGCAAACTGACCCAGTTCACATCAAGTCAAAGCATTTTCAGGCTGGCTCAAAAATCCAAGTATTTGGGAATCTTCTGAAGCACTTCAGGATACCACCTTAAACAATACACAACGGACATAACAACTTTAAAAAACAATCCCAATATGAAAAGGGGAGCTGGAAATATCCAGAATTTAAGCTCTGACAGCACTTGGCCATGAGTGGTAAGTGGAAACCAACCTGGAGGGAGATCAAGGAGAGGAAGAGATAAATTGGAGGAAGCAAATCTGGAGTCTAATTAGTTTAGCCATGAGGGGAAGGAGAAATGTTGATGGAGGTGATAAGATCCAGTTGGAGATTTTTCCTCCTCCCTCCCCTATAGAAGAAATTTCTTATTGCTGGTTATCTGTATAGCAAGTGTTAAATAAATTCAACACAATGGCCAAGTTCTCTGTTGTATTTCTTTCATTTGAAAATCAGATTGTAGCTGCCTCATATCTTTTTTGGAACTTAATAAATCAAGTTAAATGAATATCATCTCCACAATATGTCCACCTATTCATTAAATTAATTTCTCCTAAATTAGGCAGATATGCTCAAGAGTAAAGCATACCAAAAAAAGTGAAGGAGCTAAGATATGAATAGAATAGAACCCATGCATCCCCCCAAAGAAAGCAGCATAGTACTGTAGAAAGTCCAACTTGGAGTTGGATGACCTAGATTCAAATCTCAGGTCCATCTCTCAGTGGCTGTGTGACTACATTATCATCCCCAATTTTACCATTTATGAAATGGGGAATACTACCACTCTCCTTACAGGGTTGTTGGGAAGATTAGATGGGAATGAAGCCTCATAAATAAGGACTGTGTCTTACTTTTGCATCTTTTCCACCCAGAATAGAAATGACATATTGGCAGCTCAATAAGACAAAGTGTATTAAGGCGCAGTGGTGGACACAGAGCAAACACAGAAAGGGAGATTATGAACGGAGGCAAATGAAAGGAAGAAAGATGTTAACATCTAGGGTGTGACTTAGTGTTGGGTGTGTTTTCACAAAAGGGAGTAGTCATTCCTATAAAGTAGTCTTCTAAACCAAAGAATAAAAAAGGTGTGGTATGCTACCTTTTGAAGTGAGCATGTAAAATTCCTGGAAGGAAAAGTAATGAAAAGCTAACGGTTCTTGGAGAGATTCAGAGAAGTGAATGGAATTTATTAACAAGATACCATTTTACTGCAGAGTTGTAAAGTGAAAAGAACAATGAATGGATAGTTTGAAGACCTAGGTTGGAAATATTGGCTCCAAGTATGACCTTGGGCAAGTTACTTAACCGACCAAGAGTATCAATTGCAAAACACAGATAATACCTCACAGGATTGCTGTCAAGATTAAGTGAGATAACGGATAGGAAAGCTGTTAATACGATACAAATAATAGGTATTACTAGGAGTTAGATTCTCCACCCACTTACAACATAATATGTCCATGACCTTGGGCGTGATTTCAGTTCTTTGCACCTCAGTTTCCTCATCTATAAAATGGGGAGGATGATACCATCTACCCTATAAACACTCTGAGGATCAAATGAGATCATATATGAGACATCGACACCCTAAAAACTGTACAGTGCTATAGGTATAGAAAGAACTGCCCTCGTTGCTGTTTTAGGCATGTCAAGGGCCGTGTTTATGCAGAGAAGCAAGTATTTTTATGCTATACAGGTGAGAGAGCCCTGCATGCACTTATGCATCCAAGAGTGGGGTATAGGGCACAGACGCACAACTACGAATTCCGGGGGTGTGACTTGCACGCTTTGGAGGACCGAAGGACAGGCTGCTGGGCCAGGAATCAGAGGAGTGGGCGCTAGGGTGGGGGCAGGGGGGATGCAGGATGCACGGATGGGAAAGGCTGGGGGCACAAACACGCATGCCCAAGCCGGAAACGTTTTCGGGGGAGAGCAATGCGCATCCCCGGAATGAAGGGGGTGGGGAGGGATGCGATGTGCAAGCCCGGAGGGCGGCCCGGGGGTGCGATACCGCACGCCAGGGGCCAGGGCTCTTTACCTTGTCACTGTAATCCCTCAGGACCCGCTCGATAGCACCCGCTTCGCCGGCCCGGACGATGTAGAGGGCGCGCTCCTCATCCATGGCCGCAGGTGCGGGGGAGCCGCGGCCGCTCTGCGCGCCCCAGCCGCTGCCTCCAGGTAAACGCCTCGCGCCCCCGCTCTCTCGCTCCTTCCCAGCTTCCTTCCTTCCCTTCTTCCCTCCCTCCCTCCTGCCTCCAACCCGCCAGCCTCCGCCCGGGCTGGCCCGACGTCACCGCCCCTCAACTTTCACCCCGCGACGTCACCGCTCCCCAGCGCCGGCGCCTCGCGGCCGCCCCCGACAAGGCCCCAGGACTCGGTCGAGGTCTGGCGAGCGGCCTGAGGCGGCGTAAGGCCCGGGGCCCTGCTTGCTCTCCTGCTTCTCCCTCTCTCTCTGAGAAGAGTCCAGTCTCTCGAGGGGGCTTTCACAGACAGAACTGTTCTTCTCTCCTGACCCTTCTCTATGAATCATTCTTAGCGGACAAGAACGACCCAGCTCCTCCCCGCCCATCTGAGCCAGCAGCCTAGTGGACTACAATTCCCTGCACGCACTGGAGCCATCCCATCCTTCCATCTCACTTATTGGAGTGCCGAATGGCATGCCGGGATTAGTAGTCATCCCGTGGGAAAGACTTCCCGCCAAGGGCATGCTGGGTACTGTGGTCCTGCGAGGGCCGGAAACGGGAGTCCGGTGGCCGCCTGAGGCCAGAGGCGGACAGACCGTTAGGGGGAGGGTTAAGCCTTGTCTCTGCCTCCGTTTTCTTCTTCGCGCGGCTAACTGTCCTGCTCCAGGCTTGGCTGGTTGGACTGGGCGACCGTCGCAGAAACTGCCACCCCTTGGTGGGAACTGTCAAGCACCTCTTTCTCGTTTAGCGGTTTCGGTATTTGAAAGTCCTTCCTCCGTCGTTTGCGGTCATGTTATGTATTCAGCTACAGAAATGTGGGAAATTGAAGGCAGTTATCTGGATAAAAGGGGACTGGGCGACTTTTTGCCCTGACAACAGTCGCTGCTAGGTATCTCGTGCCGACGGAGTTCCAGACGCTGTTGGGTGGTTTCCATGTAGTCTGATTCTCACAACACAGATTTTTGTGCAACCGAAAGGACCCTGAATAGGTTAAGTAATTTGTCTTAAGTCACCTAGACAGTAAGTGGGGAAGTCGAGATTTGAATCCAGGTCCTTTCCCGAGGGCGGCTGCTGTACTATGATGGGTGACACGGTAGTGGTGGTGGTGACCATGAGAGGGCTCTCTTATGTACTTCACCTGTGTTAGCGCAATGGTTTTCTCACAAATTTATTCAACAAATATTTGAGAACCTGTTCTGTGCCAGGCATTGTTCAATGCAGTGTTGATACAGTGGGCCCCAAATAAAGTCATTGCCTTCGCGAAGCTTCCATTTTATGAGGGGAGATGCTATTTATTCTCGTTTTAAATTGAGGATGAGGCCGGCCCGTGGCTCACTCGGTAGAGTGCAGTGCTGATAAATTGAGGAAACTGAGTCTTGGGGAGGTTAATAGATTAATCTACCAAGATTGCAGATTTCGGAAACTTAATTTGAACTCAGAACCTGTGTTCTTTCAGGTCTCCCAAGCTTTTGGGTAGAGTGGATGAGTTCTCCAAGTAATTTCCCATGTTCCACTTCAGGCAACCTTTACCAGTAATCACCTTGGATGCCTCCCCTGCCATCCTCTCCCTCTTGGGCTGTGCTGAAGAGGAACTAGAGGGGGCAAGATTTTATTCATCTAATAAGGGAGTTTCTTCTATGTTGTGCTAGATGTTGTGCTGGACACTGGGAATTTGGAGATAAACATAGAACCTGAGTGCATGGAACTTTTGGTCTTTATGTGGATTCTACTTCTCATGTAGCAAACATTTATTGAGTGTATTTGTTGAGCAGGGCATTGGGGTAGGTGCTGTAACAAATTAAGTCAGAAAGATTTTAATCTGTCTCTCGAAAAAGCACACTTCTTAGAAATGTCATGGAATAGTTAGCTACATTCCTAAGGTAATAGTAATATCTTACAATTGCTTTTAACAGTTTACAAAACATTTTAATATACATTATCTCAATGGATCATTGGGGAGGATATTGTTCCCACTTTATAGACAGGAAAATAGGTCAAATGAGTTAAGTAATGTGAACTGGGACTCAAACAGAGCTGTTAACACAACAAAGTATTTGGGTGCCTACTCTGCCCAGTACTGTATTAAGTGCTTTTGGAGTAACCATATATTTATTTTTGGAGTGAGGGCCTCCTGAAGAGGCTATTAACAAAGTATCTCAGCAGAGATGTTTCTTTCAGAGGGTCTTACACATGTCTTTGAAATGTCTGTTTGCCAGAAATAGGCTATGTTTTTAGGCTCCAATCCTGTACTTCCAAAAAGATTTTAAAAATGTGAAACCACATGAATTAATGGCTTGGGAAATTGTACCTTAGTAATTTTAATTAAGCATTAATATTCTGATTTTCTAAATGAAAAGGATCTTTGACTCTAATTCAAGTCATCTTTTGACCACTGACGAGACTCTGGTCCCAGAAAAATTAAGTGGCTTGTCCAAAGTCAATATTTAAAAGCAGACTCTGGGACTAGAGCCTAGACTAGCTAAATCCTGGGTCACTACATCACTTTACCTCCCTGAATATTAGTTATGTGATACTTTCAGTGACAAAAGACTCTAGTCCAGTGCTAACTTAAATTCCTGTTGATTCTTGGGTAGAATGGTACCAAGGAATTAGGATTTAGAGCCTGGGTATTCAAAGCAGCAAATATTTATTCACAAGTTATTTCCCTGAGAGATAGTAATATAACAATTCTATACATATATATGGATATTGCTTTACTATTCTCAAAATATCTCCACATAGATGATCTGATTGAATCCTTATAATATCTGAAAAATGCAAGGTCAGTAGGACAGGCACTATCTTCTTTTTTACAGAGAAAGGAGAAGTTCAGGGTGATGATTACCTTGCTCATAAGCAAATAAGTCTGCTAATAAGTGGTATAGTTAAGGGCTAGAAGTGCTCTAGGCTCTGATAACATAAAATGTTACGGACTTTCAGGTTTGGGCCAATGACAAAGCCTGCAAACAGATACCAGTCATTTATTTTGGACTTCGATATATCCTGCTGTGGCATTTCCTCTTGCCATGACAATGGGCTAGTTGGAATGTGCCAAAATGAAGGTCTTTAAGGAGTACCTGGTGCTAACAGCTTTTAAAATCCAACTTTTTGGGCCGAGCCCGTGGCGCACTTGGGAGAGTGTGGTGCTGGGAGCGCAGTAGCGCTCCCGCCGCGGGTTAGGATCCTATATAAGAATGGCCGGTGCGCTCACTGGCTGAGCGTGGTGTGGGCGACACCACACCAAAGGTTGTGATCCCCTTACCGGTCACAAAAAAGACAAAAAAAAAAAAAAAAAAATCCAACTTTTTCACATGTAGTACCTTTTATACATTTTCTTTATAATTTTATATAACTTTATAATTTTATAAGCAGAAATTTAGAAACTAAACAGCTCAGTCTGTTCGATGCAGCTCTAGAATTGGAGTTCAGAGAATTCCATTAGTTAAGGATATGACTAGTCACTCAGCAACCACCACCTCACTGTGAGGCCACTCATTCAACCTCTCATTTAAACCACATTAAACTCATTTAAACCACAGTGTCCTGAGCTGTAAAACAAAGGGACTGATCCAGATGTTATTTTAGTTCTCTCTCAGTTCTAAGACTTGTTATAAGAACAATGACGAAACCACATTTTAATATGCTCATTCTTTAGAAAAACCTATTAATGAGTGGGGTTGTGAAAATATGTGCAAGGGCCGGCCCGGTGGCGCACTGCTACAGTGCGCCACTTCTGAGCGCGGCGGCGCTCCCACCGAGGGTTCGGATCCCACATACAGACCGGCCGCTCACTGGCTGAGCGAGGTGCAGTTGCAACACCGAGGGTTGCGATCCCGTGCCGGTCCCAGTCCGGTACGGGTGCAACACCGAGGGTTGCGATCCGTTGCCGGTCACGAAAAAAGACAAAAAGGAAAAAAAAAAAAAGAAAATATGTGCAAATCAAATATCAAAATGACATGTGTAAATCACTGCTTGGGCATACTTGCAAAGGGTCTGATTCAGTTGATCTGTGGTGAGGCCTGGGAACTGGTAGTTTTAAAAGCTTCCCTGTTGATTTGAATGAGCAGCCAGGATTGAGACTCACTGGACCAATATTTTGATAGATTATCAACCACTGAATTAGTTTTTTATAGACTACCAAACTCATGTGCATATAACTCATTAGTTAGTCTTTCAGAATCAGAATAACCTGGCAAGATGAAAGTTACTTATATTTCATTTTCTACCAAGAATGAAGTGTCCCTTTTATAGCAAATTTATTTAACATAGTTTGTTCCTTTAACAAATATTTAGTGCTCATTGTAGGACAGCTGTCATAAGACACCATAAAAAATAAAAACAAGTAGAAGTAATTGGTCCAGTCTTTTGGGCATATAAGAAACAACCAAAGAGTAAAATGAATTTTTTTTTTTTTTTTTTACTGATAGTAAGGAACAAATTGAACATAGCACTGCAAATCAAAGCAAGATAAACATTAATATGAAGGGGAGTGATCAGAGAAGCCTTCTCGGAAGAGGTGAGCTGTGAATACAGAATGGTGGAGAGATCTTAGAGGGCTACCAGATAGGGGGAAATGCTGTGAAAAAAGGTCAGGAGGCCACAATTAAAAAAAATGCTTACTGAAAAATTATACCAACTTGATTGAACTTGAAAGCCAGCAATGGAGATTTCTTAGAGGTCAATGTAATCAGTGGGATAAGGAAAAGTTAAATCTGAGAGATGTTTCATAATCAATGATGACTCTATAACTAGCCAATCCAACTTCAGCTTATAGCGTGTTACATTCCTGAAAACATTACTTTACAATGCCATAAGACATAAAATTAGGGGGGTCTGTTGCCAGCCGGCTTCAAATCCTTATGGACATTATTTTATCTCTGGATCTCATTTATAAAATTAAGTTGGACTAACTAGATGTCTTCAAAGTTTTTTTTTTAACTTTAAAAAATTTATGATTACTTTCAGCACCTTTATGAGGTTCCTCAGTAATATTCCCAGCAGTCTAATTGCTAAAACTTAGAGTCCATGCCTTCAGTCCTTGGCAGATGTACTTATAGTTGCTTAATATTGATTGACTGTCCACAATGGAGCTCTCAAATTAAGCACATGAAATGTGCTCTGCCTTTTAGGAGTTTTTATTTATCCAAGAGCTGGAATGTGGGTCAGAACTATTTGCATCTTGCTGACTTGGAATCCCGTCCAAACCTCTTGGGAAAACCCAGCACTTTGGGTGGCAATGCTGTAATGTGGTAAAAGAACCTGGACTGGAAATTGGAAAGCCTGGTTTTTAGTCCGGACTCCCTTTGTGAATATCAGAAACGGATCCTTTCATTAAATTCCTTGAAACCGGGGATAAGTCACTTGCCCTTTCTGAGCATTGGTTTTCTGAACTGTAATGAGTATAATCATAGCTACTTTGCAGGATGTTGTAAGGGTTAAAAGAGATGGCTGTCAAAGCGGCCAGTGTGGCAGACCTGGCATAGAGTAGCCACTCAAATGATAGCTCAACTGGAATGAAAAATGCAACCTCCCTCACAAGGATGTTGTGCAGATTCAGGGCTAAAGGTCATGTTCCTATGGATGCAGAAATGCATGAGTTTTGTTATTGCTGCTGTTGCTGCTGCTGCAGCTGCTGCTGTTTTTAACAACAGAAAAGGAATTCCAACTGACTCCTTTGGTCTTTATGCCTTGAAGTTAACATCTTTAACACTAACGTACTGTAAGATAGTTTTGAGATAGTGATTGATGCATGTGCGCACGCGCGCATGTGTGCGCGCTGCGTGTTGTGTGCACACAGTCTAAAACGCTCTTTCAGTACACCCTCTCCATATCAATGCCTTTGCAATTAAGTTTATTGGGAATAACATGTCAGAGGAAATACTCGCAACCCTTCTTCCCACCACCTCCTTTTGCAGTAAAGCATTAATTTACTTACCAACATTTGATTAAACTCTTAAGGTTCAACCCTGGGAGGAGGTGGCAGTGGACAAAAGATTATTGTCATTCATCATCAACACATTTTAGTCTTCCCCTCCAGTAGCCTATGAAGGATTAGCATTTCCCTGAAAGGAGGAGGACAGAATAAATTGCATCTACCGCCAAAGAACTGCCAGCTCCTTTCAGCTGGGGGCACATACCGGGAGCTTTTCCCATATTAGTCAGCTTTATCTCAACTTTTGGGCAGTGCTTACATCTGAATTTTCATGGGTTTCAGGGTCAGTCAAAACAGAATTGTAGGGTTGTTGAGGTCAGAGGCCACCTCTGTCAAAGGGTAGTGACCTTAACAGCAAGAGGGAGCCAGTCCTCCCCTTACTTCCCCCTCTCCCCCCAATGACTTCATTCTAGTGAATGCTTGGCTCATTGCACCTCCCCTGCAGAGCTATTTTTCGAACTGGTAATAAAAATCCTCCTGTGAACTGGTATTTTTTTTAAGCATTATTATTGATTTTCTTTTGTTCCTGTTTCTCTATAGAATGACCAAATCTTGGTCCCTGATAATGTATTGGTTTGTGCTACCTTGGGAAATGATAGAAAGCTAGTCTGCTGTTAACTTACAGTGAGTGAGTGGAATGCCACGCCCCGTGTGTAGGGGAAGATTTGGTGCCCAGCTTAGAAACTGCCTTCATTTAGTGAGCACAAAAATTTCCCAGAATTTCTGAAACTTTCTTCAACCCCAGTAGGTTCTGTTACCACGGTCAGGGTTGATTTAAAAACTGCAAAACTGCTTAGAAGAGGGGAATGGGGGTGGTGTGAGATGGGAATAAAAGTAGGAAGGAGGAAGAAGAGAGTGTGCTTTAGAAAAAAGGATAGGGACGGACCCTGGGGTAGTCTTCAAATACCAACTCTGCTGCTTAAATTGCGCCTTCGGCAAGGCACTAAACTGCTCAGAGCCTCCGTTTCTTCCCTTGTAAACAGAAGTGATTATACCACTGACAGTGCAGGGAGGTTGTGAGAAGTGGAGAAGATGCATCTCATCTCCCTCTATCCACACAGTGGACCCCAATCAATGGGAGCCTTCATGGATTAAGGTGGATCTGTGTCAGAAATGTGCCATACTCGGTGTGAGGTGGGGAAAGAGTGTTGCAGAGTCCTCCTTTAAGGTCTTTCTTTCTGCCTGGACTGCATTTCAGTTCTTAAGAAGACATTTTGCAGTTTATTATTTCTGAGAGCTGTAGCATGGGCCAGGGCATTCTGGATACCATCCCTCATCGGGGCACAGTTTGTCAGTTCTCTTTTAAACTTCTCTCGGAGGCTTTTCTATTAGGAGACTATTATAAATACCAAGTATTAGCACTGCAGCTCTTTCTGAGGCTGATTGTCTCGCCCCTGCTGTCATGGTCAGACCTCATTATTTTTCATAATAGATCTTAAACAACTGGTTTTAGCTCTTGAGGCATTTATGATGAGAAAGGGAGGCATAAAACTGGGGAGTCCTATTTCTCCCGCCCACCATCTCTCTTCACCCACACGCCTTTCCTAGCAACAGCTCTTTCTTTGACTCTGGTAGCCCACATCTTCCGTCCCACCTACACTAGCAGGAGCAAAATATGGGGGTGAGAGGGTTGGGGGGAGTTGAGGTGCAGGAGGAGGAATGCAGGAAGAGCTTCAGGGAGGAGGCTGATAAAGCACAAAAAGTTCTGACCTCCTTGGAAGAGGAAGCCCCAAGGACTATGTCCAAGCTGGCTTAGCTTGGGTGACTGCCAAGGAACTGAAGCAGAGAAGTTCCAGGTTAGAAGGGCAGGCAGCAAAGTGGTAGTGAGGTGCAGTGGCTGAAGGGCAAACAAAACAGCACAGTTACAGAAAGGATTGTCAGCTAAGGGAAAACTGCAAACAGTGTAGATTAGCATGGAGTGCTGCTACTTGCACAGGGCACCATCCTCCACTGTGGACAGACTGGAACCCTGTTAAAAAAAAAAAAAAGAACCTGGGCACATGTTTAAGCAATAGTAGGTCCCTGAGTCTTAGAACTTCGAGATGGGAGGGGTCGTGTTTCTCAACCTTGACTGTGTGTTCAAATTACCTGGGGGGCTTAAAAAACTACTGATGTCTGGGTCACGTTTCAGGTCAATTATTCATTGTGAGTGGGATTTACACATCAGTATTTTTAAATAGTTGATCAGGTAATTCTAAGGGGCAGCCAGGGTTGAGAAGCACCGAAGTCCAGTCACACAGAAGGAATGCCCTTCTGCCACATCTCTAGTGGAAGGAGGATTTGACCTCAGTTCTATCTCACTGTAAAGCCAATAAGTATGTTCCTCTTTTTTGTTGTTTTTTAAGCTTATGATGATGACAATTTCCATATTTGAGGCTTTGGAAAACCTACAGCAACTCCTCCACATGCCCCTTCCCTGGTAATAAAGGAGGTACTTATACTATCCCCTTTCCCAGGACTTAATTTTTTAAAAATCTTGCAAGTCTGCTTTTAAAAGGTTGGAACAAATAGCCTGTTTGTTTTTGCTCTCTTTTCTTCTGCACATTCACTTAAGACATTTTTTTTTCCTTCTGACCAGTAAGGGTTTCGCAACTGTTGGCACGGTGTGGTCCGCACCAATGCACAGCCAGTGAGCGCACCGGCCATCCCTATATAGGATCTGAACCTGCAGCCTCGGCCAGCGCCGCACTCTCCCGAGTGAGCCACGGGGCTGGCCCGCACTTCAGACATTTTGATTGACCACTTTAAAACAAACATTAAGGCCAATTCTGAACGGAAGAAAAAATTGCAAAAGACTACTATCCAGAGTCGTGGAAGGGAGGGCGGGGTTGGCCAGGAGGAAGGGGTGGAGCTTAGCTTAGTAGTGGTGATGCAGGTATAGGGGCTAAGCTCCTGGGCATGAGCCTCAGTCTGTGTTTTGGCACCAGCTGGTGGAGCTGCCTCCCTGAGTCACTGCCCAGCTGTCAGTCCAGTCCGTTCTTTGTTTTCCCTAAGCTGTCCGCCTCACCCAGATCTGCCAGCCCTGGTCCATCAGCACACAGACTATAATTTGGAATGTCATAGTCATATAACACGCCTGCTTGAGGTCCAGAGTGAGGAGGTGACCCGTCCAAGGTCACATGGTGGTGAAGCCATGGCTCTTTCCACAATTTTATTCTCTCACCTCATTTAGGTTGGGCTTACTCAATGGCAAATGTTTTTGTTTGGTCTGCACCTGAGTTTCAGTCTCAGAGGGGCCACAAATTCCCTTTCTATCCAGACCTGAGGTATACTAGAGGTCTGACAAAGGACACAGCAGGATAGATGCCGAGGACGCCACAGGCCTGCAACGTGGGTGAGCCATCCTGGCTGCTGTTCATGACTTCAGTCAGTTTCAAGCTGGCAGAGGCCTTTTCAGAAAAAGTTCTAAGAGGGGTAGTGTCCCTTTATTGCCAGGACTCCTCTGTTTTTCCACTGACAAGTGACTGGCCCCACTCCCAGCTGCCAACCTTGCCCAATCCCATTTTGGTGACTGGCTAGGAAGCTTCAGAGGGTGAGAAGGTGCATTGAGTCATGTGCTCACAGCAGCTGTCACCTTTTCCTAA